TTAAAGTAAGCTGGAAAGTTTAATATTCCTGCCATAATGGCTAGCTGGAATATTTTATGTAGCTGGAATATTTTATACCTCTGGACTCTGTTTAGATAGTTACTTTCTTCTGCTAAGAATAGATGCCTGGTTATTAAAATTAGCAGAGCAAAGATATATAAATGCCCATAAAGCCCTCAAATGAGTTTACTGTTGGTAGTATACCCAAATGTGGATCTCTGCTGAGCTAGTGCTATTTTTAGAAAACATGAGGTATGGGTTAAAAGGAAGGGCTGATGATAATATAAAGTAGGACCAAAGTAAGATGTTCCTCCAGAGACTTGATTTAGATCTCAAAGTGCCTTCTTAAAGTTAAAATAACTACACCCTAATGTATCCATACCTTGTAATGAGTACACAGTGTTTTAATTTTCCAAGAACTTCAAATAACTAGTATAGATAATCCAACTTCTTTCTATACAATGAACAGTCAATGCTTAACTAAGAAAAGTGTTGTAGAAAGAACACCTGTAAATTGGTATTAAATAAAACGGGACTTGAGGAATTACGAGAACTCCTTTTATAATGTTTTATTACTTCCTTGCAATAGTAAACTTTCTCTAAGGTATGTTACAAATATAATCAAAAGCATCTCATAGGAGGAAGCATAATATCAACCTCATTATAAGAGATTATCCTAGTGCAAAATTTCAAAGCCCACTACTTCGCTCTGCATTGGGCCTTAAATATTTTAATTAGTGTACACATCAAAGTCTTTCCAAGGATGCTTAAATACACAGTGTCTTGAATGAGAACATGGTCTAAAGCCAGAATACTTTGTTTTAAACCCTGGCTCCATTATTTAATGCTCTTGTGACCCTAAGCACATCACTTAGACTTGTTTCCTTATTTGTAAAATGGGATATGAGATAATAATGATACTAAACACAGAGAAACACAGAGAATGATTAATCAGTACATAGGGAGAAAAAAAACACATGAATAAAATGTAAAGGTACAAAATTATAAGCCAAAATAGGAGGCTATGATAATCTTTACCTACTCAGTAGCAAAAACAATCAAAGCCATCCAAACATATCCTTACTCTATGTTTAGTGAACCCTCTCCACATTCCCCTACAAACTTAAAAACTCAAAAGGTAGTTATTTGCTTTGTCAGAATAGAAACATCACAAATGTAAAATGTGATTCAGCAGGTAAGTAATGCTTGTGTGGTATGTTTGGTCTGGTTGTCGGCTCTTGGTTTATTATGTTCTTAGTCTAGGACCTCCTGTCTTGTGAATGTTTACTCTGACATTTTATAACATCTCCTGTAACATTTTTTTTTTTTTTGCTCAGAAGATAAAAATACAGTTATATCTGTTCAAATATGCTTAAAACAACTTCTTTTTCTTGTTTATATCATAAAAATGCCAAACTAACAAGTGCTTGTTTGTCTGGCCATTTATTTAATTAGACATCTAGGTTGCCCAGACGTGGTAAAGAGAAATGGTCTTCCTAGTGCTCAGCGTGCCCAAAGGGAAGCCTCATTCTTCCACCTGCCTCAATGAAGCTAAATTCCTACAAACTTATGAGGAAAGAAGCAGGAAAAAAAAAAAAAAAGAAAAAGAAAAAGAGGAAAGAAAGTCCTCTGTAAAAAGAATATAAAATGTATTTAGGTGCACATATCTCTCTCTTCTTAGTTTTTTGTTCATATTAGAATGAAATTGTTTGAAAGAGCTTGTTAAAGCTCCGTCTCTTTTTGGCATTTAAAGTGGAACTAATAGTTATGTTTATGATAGTGGGATTTTAAATGTGTAATTGCATTTGCATTATAAAAAATTTTAAACTAAACTTGAAGCTTTGGATGGGACAAGCATTCAAGCATTGTGAAACATTAATATTCAAAAGAAATAACTAAATCATGTCATAATTGTCTAGCACTATTTAAATATAAATGGCAATAGTGAATGTCATTAACAAATACACTTTTACATTTTAACCTGGTTAGACATTTATGAAAACAAAGCCAGAGAAAGAAAGCCTCATTGAACTATAAGTCAGAAAGAGGATGGAACTCTTCTTCACTAATTGAGTACATAAGTAAGTCTTTTAGAAAGAATTCCCAGTAGCTCAGATAATCTTTTGTAAGAAACTCAAATTAAAACCCTGTTTAAGAAGCTTATGACCTAAAGTAAAAGGAATTCACTTTCCTTAACCTTGACAGCATAAACTTGATGTTTTCCCCTTCTAACAGGATGAACATTTACGAACTCAGGTAGAATGTCAAGCATTCTGCAAAAATGAATTATATAACTACTTCTCCAATAAGCCAGGGAGCATATTGGCCCATTCTTCTTAAACTTCAAATTTCAGGGTTTTAAAAACATGTGAATAATAGGTCTGTCTTTATCCCTACTTAACCTCATAGCCATGAACGAAGGGAACAGATACTAAGCCATTTTGTAAAATGAATTTATCCTAAGAAAGTCACTGATAATACTCTTAATAAATCCATAGACTTAAAAAAGAAAGAAAGGAAATAAGAAACTTTTTCCACGAGCTGAATTAACCATTCCAGACCAATAGGCATGTGTTTGTAAGTAAAAGCAGTTTTTTTTTTTTTCTTTTAAGATTTCATTTATTTATTTGACACAGAGAGAGAGAGATCACAAGTAGGCAGAGAGGCAGGCAGAGGCAGAGGGGGAAGCTTGATCCCAGGACCCTAAGATCATGTCCTGAGCAGAAGGCAAAGTCTTAAACCACTGAGGCACCCAGGTGCCCCTGAAGCAGTTTTGTTAAATAAAAGCCATTTGAAGGTTTTGTTTTGGTTTTCTCCTGTTGTTCTATCTTCTATCACAGCCACTGTTTTTTTACATCAAAATTGCTCAGTGGAAATAGTACCAATTTCGAACTACGAATTTCCTACCTACCAATCAGTCATCTGTGATCCTGTTTGAGCAACAAATATTGTTATTTAGGGAAGAAGCAATTCTTTAAATCATGATAAAACTCATTCTTGTTACTTTATTTCTTTGGTGAACTGATTCTAATACCTCAGGTAACCAACCTCTGTCATTCCTTTCTGGCTGTTCTACCTGATGGGCCAGATATGTTAGTCTAAGTATATACTTATTTCTTGTGAAACATATAGAGATTAAATAGCGCAACTCGTATTGCCATGTAAAAAAAAAGAAAAGAAAACAGGTCAGTTTTTCTGGAGAGATGTTTAACTGCAACAGGAGACATGTGTGTATACTTTGATTTAAGTAAGTGAGGGGAATTGCACAGACAGGACACACTTGACAGTAAAGTACTGAAAGATGTGGCCTGATGTACCAGATTTAGTTTCTCAGTCAGTTTGGTATGAGAATTGGAATTATAGGGAAAAGGAAATCTAGGAGAGATGACTGAACATTGGAAGTATGCTTGCCTCTTAACAGCAAGTGCTAAAAGAGGGCTGGCACTGATCCACCACCCTCCTTCCCTTTGGGGCCAAAGGAAGTCCTCAGTGCATTACTTCCAATTTTACTGTGGGATCCACACTGAGTCACAGCTGTCATATATATTTAAATAGGACAGTCTCTCCCAGTATCAACTTTAATAAGCCTTTTATATTTGACTATGAATTACCAATAACTTCTTTTGGGGGGGCTCAAAATTAAAACTCTGGCATCTAGGTAATAGTTTATTTTCAATATTTAAAGGAAATAGTTCAAAGTCAACCAAGAATCAGGTTACAATGACATGACATATGGAAACTAATCAACTACGTTGTATCATCTTCTTTGAAGTGAGGTATTGTCCAATATTCTTCTGGTTTCAATTTCAAAAATTCAGAGCAGTCAATCTTAACTGGAAGTGTTCATCAGAATCCCTTAGGAGGGTGTAAATAAAACACATGTTCCCTGGCCCCTCCTCTGAAATTCTGATGGATTATGCTCAATAATCTTAAAACAGAACAAAACAAAGCAAAATCTCTACATATAATTTTATTTGTTTGTTTATTTTATTTAAAATCAATTGCCCAAGAGACAGTACATCACTGGTTTTATAATATAATGTTCAATGATTTATCAGTTCAGTATAATGTAATTTTTTTTAAGATTCTATTTATTTATTTGACAGAGAGATAACAAGTAGGCGGAGAGGCAGGCAGAAAGAGGGAAAGCAGGCTCCCGGCTGAGCAGAGAGCCCAATGTGGGGCTCGATCCCAGGACCCTGAGATCATGACCTGAGCCGAAGGCAGAGGCTTTAACCCACTGAGCCAGCCAGGAGCCCCTAAATAAATAAAATCTTAAAAAATAAAAATAAATAAAAACAAAAATAGTCAACTTTACTGTATGTTAACTTAAAAATAAACAACTTTTTGGAAATATATTCTGACATAAAAATGCATATCTGTATGTAGGCTACTTGTGTACAATGTCCAAAAAAGTCACAAAACAATTTATTACATTTTAATCTAAAGAGTGAGGACCTCTAGAAATACAGAATTGCCATGACCCTGCAAATCCATCAATACCCTTCCCCTCTATTGGGTGTCCAAACTGGGAAATTTTTTAGTATCCTTCCAGAGTTCTGGGGCGGCACAGGAAAGGAATGAGAATTATCCTGAACCTACTCTCTATGTACACTCTCAAGCTATGCTCTGGCAGCACTATGCTCCAGTTCTATTACATTCATGACTACAACAAACACATTGTGTAATCCTCATGGAAGCATTTAGTAGGTTTTTGATCTTTTGCCTGGGTGGCCTAGAGGTTACATAATTCAGTTTAATTGAGTGTCTACTAAGTATTATTTCAGCCACTTATATAAGGCATAATCTGAACTATGGATCTTTCTTCCATCATTCATTGAACAACTTTTTATTTTCTTTTAACTATGTCACACACTATGTTAGCCATTAAGTAACAAGCAACAAATAACATCTCTGCTGTCCTGGAGTTGATACTCTACTGAGGAGTAACTGATACATAAAAACTTATAAGATTTAAAAAAAAAATGTGCTCTTCCTAGGCCGGCGCTCTCACCAAGGAGAAGGCCACGTTCAGTTCGAGGTTGAAGATCGTGAAGCCCAATGGCAAGAAGCCGGACGAGTTCGAGTCTGGCATCTCCCAGGCTCTGCCAGAGTTGGAGATGAGCTCCGACCTCAGAGCCCAGGTAAGGGAGCTGAGTGTCACGGCATCCAAGGAAACTGAAGTTGGCGGTGTTCGGGAAGCTATTACTATCTTTGTTCCCGTTCCTCAACTGAAATCTTTCCAGAAAATCCAAGTCCGGCAAGTCCGTGAATTGGAGAAAAAGTTCAATGGGAAGCACATTGCCTTTATCGCTCAGAGAAGAATTCTGCCTAAAACAACTTGAAAAAGTCACACAAAAAATAAGCAAAAGCGTCCCAGGAGCCGCACTTTGACAGCTGTGCATGCCGCGATCCTGAAGGACTTGGTTTTCCCAAGTGAAACTGTGGGCAAGAGAATTCATGTGAAACTGGATGGTAGTCGGCTCATCAAGGTCCATTTGGATAAAGCACAGCAAGAAGCTCACAGGCAAGGATGTTAACTCTGAGTCCCCCAAGTTTCAGTTGTACATAAAAATGATTAAATAAAACTTTGACAGTAAAAAAAAAATATATATATATATGAAAGGGGAAATATAAACTACTATGATAGTACATATGAGAGGACTAAACCAGGTTTTCAGATCATAGAAGGTCCTGGAAGGCAACACTGGATTCTCTCTAGAGTAAAAACTCTTAAAATTAACTTATTAAACAGAGAAGTCTCTCACTTATGACAAAGACTGATTGTTAAACCCATCATCCTTAGAGTCATCCTATGAGACAAGAACAATTACTCTTATTTCCATTGAAAATAAGGTACGAATTTACCCGCTGTACCGCAGCCTGGGTGACCCCAAGAGGATTCACCTCAGGAAGTCTAGCTTCCATCTGTTCTTGTTATGATTACACTATGTTGCCACTGCCTCCAGCTCTTCTTACATTATGCAAGGAACAGGGTCATGTTCAGAGGCTTTAAATGTGTCTCATTACGCTTCCCGGAATCCACAGCACAGCCACCTGGTGCTCAATTCGGTCAATAATATAACCTTCTGGATTGACTTCTGTTAAGTGAGAAGCACACGGAGCACAAAGCGCATGACAGGGCCACAAGGATCTTCAGAGTACTGTACTTTGGGGAAACGAGATCAGCCTTACCCTGAATTCCCAAAACACATATTTTATCTTCTTTTTACCTTCAGTGGGACACAGACCTGACCTCATACATCTCTGCACATTTGCAACTTTGTTCCCAGTTGGAGTAAGTTGGGGAACATGCTGCCTTCACAGCAGTGAGAAATGATAATTTTCATAGCAGAAATGAGGCAACTGACTATCCATGTTGCCTGCTGTACTTTCTCCGTGAGTTTCTGCCTCTTTGGTACTCTGGGTGTTTGTTCATCAACTTTTCTGTGTTAACAGGTGGACCGTTTCCCCTCTGCAAAACACTTAACATGGATTTTGCCCCCTGCACTCTCCATTAACACTATGGTATCATATTGTGCAAATGTGTCAGCATGGATCAAGAAACCAATATAAGAAAACCTGTTATATTGCTCAAGATTTTGTCACTGAACCTTATGGCATCGGTACTTAAACAGGGAGAATGATGTTTCCAGGAAATTACTCTGATTCAAAATGTAAGCCCATTTTCTAGTGACTTCCCACCAGGGTTGGTTTATTTGTTTGTTTTTGTTCCTTAATGCACTTTGCCACTTATTTTGTCTTGCTTCTGGCCTTTGTAATAGGCTCCCTCTGATGAGATTGCCATCATATTCCTAAGCAAGTTCTAGCTTTAGCATTTTCTCCAGTAACCATGTAAATTTTTTGAAGCTTAGTGGCTCAAAGGAGTAATATGCCTAAAAAAACACAGCACAAGCCCATTCACATTCAGAATAGGAAAGAGAGAGAGAGAGAGACAGAAAGTGTGTGTGTGTGTGTGTGTGCACGTGTGTGTGCCCGGACATGTCTGTGTATTCTCCCTCACTTTTCTAACCCTTTATGGTCTGGTTTAAAATACTGTACATTATTTGTATTTTAACTTGCAGTCTTTGCTGTAAAAACATGTTGGAGTTTCTGAAGAAATGGCAATCATCCTTGTCCATGTCTGAAAAAGCTGGTGGATAAAACAGAGAGTTAAAATGGAGGCTGATGTATCACCTTATTATACAGAGACCGGCTGGGAAAACTTTTTGTCTGTAGGCTACTTTGCAGAAGTAGAACTGATGTGGCAAGGTACCCTGGTAAGACTCCATGGGTGGACAAAGAAGAAAACCCTGCGTGGGCTTTCCCTCGAAAGGAAGAAAAACATAGCTCAGTTCTGAATACCCAGTTATTTTTGCCAATCTATCAACCAGTAAGTCAATGATTTTCTGCAGCCATTCAAGAGCCTGTTTCCCAAAGATCTTCCTGGGAATTCTGGTGGATGCTCCACACTTCGTTTCCAGCACACTCTACCATGGATCAGAACTCTATTCTATTTAAGTCCATGCCACGGCCAAGTTGCCCTCAAATCTGGGGTATTCCCTTTCTTCTCTTCCCTCCCTCGCTGTCCAACTAGTAGAATACATGGTACATAACTGGCTATCTACACATATCTTGAAAAGAAATGAAAGTGTCACTAAATACACTCAAAAAAAAAAAAAAGAAAACTGTTTTAGAGAGTGTGTAGCATCATAATAACTTATGTAGGCCTGTGAATTGTCAAATCAGTCTACACTGTGTGAACTCACAAAAGAAATTATTAAATTATCATGTGAAAGATAGAGACCTCTACAAATAGAGAAATGCAAATCCACCCAAATTTGTCTTCTGATACTGGTGCGCATTTGAGGCAGGAGTCACTCCCTTTCCTAAGTTAGCCAAGTGCACAGGGCAGATTACAGGCATCGTCCAGAATTCTCTCTATAAGTATATTCTCAAGCTGTTTTTCTTGCAGTTTTAAGGAAAGCCTTACATAAAACTGAAAACAAAAGGCCAAATTAAGATGAACCATAGATACTTCAACAACAACCTGCAAATAACATAGAGATGAACCAAATTTAAATATAAGTCCCCTCCTATTATGATGTTCTGAAGGAGAAAAAATAATAAATCTCTTTGAAAATGAAAATTGAAAGATCAAAGGAACTGATGTTCAAGTCCATTTGCTTAAACCTTGAGTATCAAAAGCCATGTATCCAAAGTCCTAAATTACATAAAACCCAAAATATTATGCAATTTCTTATCTAGCTTAGAGTCTGCCAGGAGTTTCTTGACTCCTGAATAGAACTAGGACTCACATTAGTTGCATTCTGCCTGGGCTTTCTCTCCTATTGAATAGGTATGGTTCCTCTGGGGTCCTGGGAGTGGTATTAATTTATTGCAAATTCCTCAGCAGCCTCACTTTTAGAGTCTAAAGCCTTAAAAGAACACACTAGATCTTCATAGCAGTGACCCAAGACCTGTGCAATTTAGAAAAACAATTCAATCCGTAGTTCTTAAGATAATGAGCTCAGGTAAAAATATGTTTGCAAAATCCAGTATTCAGTATTTTCAGAGACCACAGCAGAGACTGACTGATACCAGTTTCACCAGGAGGCCAGATGTCTACACCCGCTACCCAGAGTCCAAGGCTTATGAATTAAAAATGAATTGGGATAATTTTCAAGCCAGATGCTAATTTTGGTATTTGAATGTACTTACTGGATTCTTCTTGTTGCTATAACCAATTATCAATAACTTAGAGGCTTATTACAATACAAAAGTATCACTTACAATTCTGGAGATCAGTGGTCTGAAATGGGTTTATGGGCCAAAGGTCAAGGTCTCTGCAGGGCTGCATTCCTCTGGAGTTTCTACAGAAACAAGTTTACTTATCCTTTCCAGTTCGAGAGACTGCTCACATTTCTTGGCTCATGACTTTCTTCCATCTTCAAAGCCAGTAATCCCATCCCTCCAGCTTCTGCTTCTGCTGTTACACTTCTCTGACTCAGACTCTCCCTCCTTACTCTTTCACTTACAAAGTTCCTTGCTCTTGAGTCTGTTTAATGGTTTACCTCTCCCTCTCCTTTTATAGAGAACAAACTGAGGGTTGCTGGAGGGGACGTTAGAGGAGATGGGTTAAATGGGTGATGGGCATTAAGGACGGCACTTGTGATGAGCACTGGTATTATAGTGAACTGATGAATCACTAAATTCCACACCTGAAACTAATATTACACTGTATGTTAACTAACTGGAATTTAAATTAAAATTTAAAAAAAATTTGAAAACCCTACAAATTAATATAGCTTATTTTAGAAAAATTACTTATTTTGATATAATTGTAAACTTTCTCCTCACTTAGTTTACCATTCTCTCTCTCACTCTTTCTCTCTCTCTCTCTCTCATTATACAGACTGAGCAGGGAGCCAGATATGGAGTTTGATCTCAGGATCCTGGGATCATGACCTGAGCCAAAGGCAGATGCTTAACTGACTGAGCCACCCAGGCACCCCTCAACTGAAAAAAGTACCACAAAATTATGGGGCTCTTTTTAAAACTTTTTATTTATTTGAGAGAGAGAGCATGAAGGGGTAAGAGGGAAAAACAGGCTCCCAACTGAGCTGGGAGCCTGACGTGGGGCTCGATGTGGAGTTTGATCCCAGGACTCTGGGATCATGACCTGAGCCAAAGGCAGATGCTTTAACCAACTGAGCCACCCAGGCACCCCACAAAATCACGTAAAGTAATATATTATTCCAACTTCCACTGTTTCTTAGAAGAACCAAATAATAGCTTTAGCATCCTTTTGTTTAGGTTTGAATACTGCTAATATCCAACTGAATATAGTTATTAAATAGTGTTTATATTAAAAAGCCAATAACCTAGCTGTAAGTACTACACTTCAGGACTCAATATTTATTTAAAGTTCCTTCCATAAAAAGAGTCACATTTGTGATGGTACTCTTCCTTTAAACTGACTTGTACTTCACAATTCTCAAATTCTTAATACATTGCTCCAGGGTGACACTTCAAATCTGAGCATTTCACAGTAGTACTTTAGTAACCTTCCACTCTCCGAGCACCACAGGGAACCATTAGCATAATTCCCATTTTATAGAGCAGGATATTAAAGCAAATGGTGCCAACCCCTGGTCATATTCACCTGTCCTTGGAAGGGAAGATAGAATTTACAATCCCCAACTGTCAAGTCTGCCCACTAACAGCCAGTGTATGGTTCTTCTAAAACACTTGCTCTAGCTTATATCTGACTTTTGGAGGGAAGACAGACCAATGCAAGGAATGGTTAACACTAATAGATATTATGTAGTAGGAAATTTGTAACTTAAATACCCAAAAGTCACAGGTGTTGTAGCTAACAAACCACTCATATTGGCTCCAAATAAAACTGGAAATAAAATGTTTTAGTCTTGCTCTTTATAATGAATGATAATCTTGGAACATTCACTTAATGCATTTTGATGGAACACAAGAATCCATAAATTATCAATTTCAAGCAATTATTCCCATATAAGGGACT